GACCTTTTCCAAATGTATGGAGCAGCTTAAGCGATTTTAGCACTTCGACTATACGTAAATAGAGGCAGTTGTCGAAGGTGCTAATTTTCGCCGACTTCGCTTTCAACTTCAACGACTAAAAAATCCACAAAAATTATTCCCTCAACCGAAGCCGTTTTGATATTCTAAAACTACGTGAAGTTTCCTATCAGATGATATCAAGCTTGCTAGCAAAACATTTCATCTTTGGAACGAAATTTCCGGTTGAAAAAAAAACGAAAACTTATGTGCCAAACCAAATATAGCGTCCTATCTAGCTTAGACATACAAGCTAGCACCTTTCTGCGCGTCATCGCAAACGGGTAGCAGGTGGATGAACGAACCTGCAAGGAATTGGCTGGCACAAGTAGATTCCAGGAAAGCCCATCTATGCTGACATTGGGGCGCGATTTTTACGCTGATAGGTATGCCTCTCAAACCCTCTTTGTGCTAGGAGGTGGTGTACGTTTGCCAATGTCGATATGGTTGCACCTTCCTTAAAGTGCTAACACGGCGGAAGACGGGTGGAGAAAGTATGCCTACCCCTGACCAAGCTACGAGAAATATTAGGTTGTCCGGAAAGTTCTCAGCGTTTTGGGTGTTTCACTTTAAACGATCGTAACTTTTTAATACTCATCGGATTTAATCGAAATAGGCACCATTCGAATCAGCACACTTTTGCCAATGTGACAGCAGTCGAGAAATCCCATCAAAGTGAAAAACTGGTCGGTGGTCAAAAATTTACGAAACTTACAAAGGCTTTTGGCCTGTCCTGTTCGTGAATATTTCCCAGCAAGCGGAAGTTCCAAAAAAGTTGAAAAGGGAATAATCCTCGTTGGTGGAAAGGTCTGGAGAATATGGCGGGTTGAGGTAGAACTTCAACCCCCAATTCGTTCAATTTATGGATAGTGATTTGTGAAACGTGTGGGCGGGCGTTGTCATGCAAAGGAATCGGACCCTTTCTTTTGATAAGTGTTGCTGCATCTGACAAAATTTATGTATAATTTCGTCGATTCGTCACAGTAGTCTGCTGTGATGGTTTGGCCTGGTGATAAAAAGTTAAAGTGGATCACACCAGCCGATGACCACCAAGCCGTGACCAGAATCTTTTTTTCGTGAGGGTTCGGCTTTGAAAATTACCTCGGTGGTTCGTCGAAATCCAACCACTGTCCGGAACGTCTCCTGTTATCATACATGACCCATTTTTCATCACAGGTGACAATTCGGTCCAAAAACAGGTCGTTTCTGTTGCGCAAAAGCAGTGAAGAAGGAACCTCGAGACGTGCCGATTCCTGCCGGTCACTCCGATTGTGGGGCACCCAATTGTCGAGTTTTTCACCTTCCCAATGCGTTCCAGACCATCTGCAACAGTGGATTTGCCAAGGCCTAGCTCTTCTGCTATCTCTCGAACTGTTTGGGATGGGTCAGCCTCCAAAATCCCCCTCAAAATCCTCGTCAGATACTGCTTTAGGTCGACCCGCGTATGAGTTCATCTTCTAAGGCTGAAATCTCCAGAACGAAATTTGTTGAGCCATTGCCGCACAGTGCTTTCTCTAGCACTATTGGGCCCCACACCTGGTTAATTTGTTGAGCTGTTTCGATTGCGGATTGCCCCAATTTATAGTCGAAGAAAAAATCGTCCAAAGTGCTCTTTTCACATGCTTGAAAAAGTCTTAAAAAAAAGAGGATTCATCAAGCAATGGTGAAACAGCAATTATACCACCAGATAGCGCAAGAAAATCTCTACAGGATGTGCTACTGGAAGCAAGGCAGCAATTGAGTTCTTTAGTCAGCAGTTGATTTACAAAAAATAGCCGCTGCCACAAAACGCTGAGAACTTTCCGAACAACCTAATAGTAGTTTCGTTGCGCCCCTATCTCGAGGGTCTGGCGAGCATGTGAGATGGGAGAAATCACAATTAGGAAATGTTTTCCTGGGTCTAATTTATCTGGGGGGGGCGGGGTAAATGACAATGACAATAGGCAAGACACGTTGGCTGTGGAGTGCACCGCATTCATGAACACATAATGACGAAGCGAGGTGGCTAATGTGGACACTGACTTTGGAATCTGAGCTCAACATTTCCACCTTCAGAATTCTCCTCTTTTCCGCCCTCCTCCCTACTTATTGGGCACGGTTGGGTCGTCGCTCTCAACGACAGGGATAGATTAGGATAGAGGTCAGGCCTCTGACAGTAGTCGAGTACAAGCATCGAACAACATATAGCAATACATCAGCAACTCACTTTCTTCGTGATTTCTTCGATGAACTATCGGTAGAAAATGTTCTAAACATGCACTTATAGGCAATATTTACCACCAGTCCGTAATCTAATGACTAGGGCGATCGCCACCGCAGATGTGGTAATGATCCAGGTCACGACCAAGCTTATATAGTTTGGAGAAAATGACAAACGATGGTGGCAGTGATTTTACTGGAAGACGGTCAAGAAAATCGTAACTTGCCGCCCCGTTGTGCCGCGCACGACATTCAGTGCCACAAAGGGCACTTTGGGTGGGTGCTTTACAGTAATGAGAAAGTGAACGCCTCCAGTTTACGGTCCCGCACCCCCCTTCCCACCTGCTCAGGTACTGCATACTAGAGAAAGAGAACTGAAATTAGAGGACAGTATATACGGCTCTGATCTATCCACCTGCCGCACGCGGTCGGAGAGAGCGCTGGCTACACCCATCAGCACGGGATATTGCGATTGCCATGTCACAATGTCACATAACCAGTCTCATGATGTGGTACGCGTTGCCTTAGGAGGGGAGACGGTAAAGAGGATCGTAATTCGCCGCACCGCCACGCGCGGCGATGGGCGCGGCGTTTTCATAACTCGTTTTAACCTGTCGAAGCACCGGACTTCATGTAGACCCCGTCATCGTAGACACTCATTACTGTTTTCGGTCCTTAATTGCATGTTGTCGCCATCTACTGCCTGAAACCATCGTCCTTTGCGGGCGGGACGTCGCACGCGACGCCCAGCAGCGCGGCAAATTACGATCCTCTTGTCACATACCCCCTTAGGAGATAGAGTTGATATGCAGCGCCTCGCCATCTCAACATGGCATTAGTGTTGCGTGTGGGCTCTATCTCCCGAGCCAACTCGCCTCGACTGAGAGTGACGCACCAAGCCCTAACTCCCTCCTCCCCAATCCCAATAACCAGCATCGGTTGCGTACATCGGCCTCGAAGGAGTTGATGAAATGCAGAGAAGGGCCTCCTCTCTAAGGCTGCGTTTATACTTTGCGGCAGCGTAGCGTAGCGCTTCCAGCGTACGCCAGCGGCAGTGCCGGGGAGAGGATGCATATCGATCTAGCGTTCCCAGCGTCACCAGCGTTTTCTCCAGCGTTTCACCAGCGTTTTGCTAGCGTTTGCAGCGGCAGGGGAGTAGAGACTATGTGGCCGTAAGAGACGCGGAATCGACGTGTATTGTAGAGACTATGTGGCCGTCAGAGACGCAGAATCGATGTGTATTGTAGAGACTATGTGGCCGTCAGAGACGCGGAATCGACGTGTATTGTAGAGACTGAGGGCGAGTGAGAGACGCGCAATCGATGTGTTTTGTACCCTCCAGCTCTCCCATAGTCTCTACTCCCCTGCCGCTGCAAACGCTAGCAAAACGCTGGTGAAACGCTGGAGAAACGCTGGCGTACGCTAGCGTGACGCTGGTGACGCTGGGAACGCTAGATCGATATGCATCCTCTCCCCGGCACTGCCGCTGGCGTACGCTGGAAGCGCTACGCTACGCTGCCGCGTATAAACGCTGCCTAAGAGAGCGTCAAAATGTATCGAACCATGTAAAGTAGTTTAAACAGTACCTGGACGAAGGCGCTTTGTAACGCTTGGACTCCTCCTTCTCCATGACTTTTTTCCTAAACATATCTTTTTGAAAAAGCGCTGGGTTTGATAGAGGTATAGACGCAAGCTGACCGCACGAAAGGCGTTTTGATCTACGTATCATTGGTCAAAGTGCAAGTGGCAAGCGATACGGCTTAACCAGAGGTACAGGACGGAAACCGATGCGGGCCCCGCACGCAGGGATAATTGTGCCTCTTCCGCCGGCTCAAATATCGCCTTGCTTAGTTTTTTTCTAAACAGGAGCACCATTATAGCGCCTAACCAAGGGGCGACATGCCGACCTAGACAACCTCTCGCCCACAAGTGGCCGTGCAGTCACATCAACGCTGGTACTCTTATCGTTTCGATATGAACCCTTGCTACATGGATTTATGAATACATACGTGCAGCCCTATAAATGGTTATTGACATGAGGCCAACGGGGAACTCGTCCAGAAACGTGTTCTGAATTCTCGTCCAATGCCGTACAGAACAAAAGTTTTTTACATGTTTTTGGCCGTTTAACCTCTCTTTTTCGTCATTTTCATATACCGCCCCTGCTAGTATTTCAGAGCAACTACCTGGTACCTTCAAAGATACGCTGTCCGCTCCCCTCAGAGGATCCTTATCCTTCCCACGTGCAGGGTAGTTGGGGTTCGCTACTATAGGAGTGCGCCACTTACCTAACTCGTAGAGGTGCTGAAATGGCGCGGGTGCTGAGAGAATGCCATTTGAGTCTCCACCCGCTACTCAAATGGTGCAGCACTTGTCTAGGTACTAAGGTTCCGCTGCAAAAATACAAAACAAAATACAGTCTTGTTCGCTGCGGATGATGGGGCTCGTCAATTGGTATGGGTATCAGTCATTTTCCACCGAGTCTTGCCACTTATACGCTTCAGCAACTGGTGCAGAACGGGCTGGCGGCACGCCAAACTCAGCCGCCCTGAAACGCTCCATCATCCGTAGCGAATGAGATTGTAGGGAATAACGGCAGGTCGTGCAGCCACACGCATGTCTGCGCGCTTTGCCGGTGGGTGGAGACACGAACGGCTCGAACTATCGCCACCTAGTCTCGCGCACCTTCGAGTGACAAGTGGGACATTCTAAAAGCTTCATCATTCACATAACGAATATCCACCTCACAACTGACGTGGAGCCAAGGATAGGTTCCAAATGAAGTACCTTTTCTCCTTCGGGGTTTCTGGTGGAGAGTGTGCTGCGCTATCACTCCGTACTTGTTGAGGAACCAGTTTTGCAGCTTTCTGAAAAGCCTCATCAACAAGCCGAGACGTTTTCAATTTCTCAGGACGTCTTCCTTTTCGGCTCTCTCCTCTTCGTTTTCTTTTCTCATCACTATCTGATTCATAGCCTTCCTCATCGGGTGCATTTTTTGGTTCGTCCTCATCGTCCTCCATTCTCATTCCCGCTTCTTTCTTTTTCCTTAAGCTTTGCTCTTTCATTTTTCTCAAATTCTCCTCTTCAGCTTTTCTTTCCTTATGTCCTCTTCGATGCTTGGCCTTCTTCTGTTCGTTTGGATTACCGCTTATAGCTTCCATATCTCTGAACGTTATGTGAATTAAGGACTGTTTGAGACTATTTCCCTACAAAACTTCTACTTGGAAACTTTCTCTTCTTTGTGGAGCTGTTTTAAGGGCCCATTAAAGTAAAACGCTGCAATGTTCTCCTTCTGTTGTCTGACAAGAACACAGATTGGTCAGCATCGAGCTTTCCGCACTCATATAGAAGGACAAACAGGGGTGTCCCCTGTTGCGTGTTCTCTCGTCTGTCTGGTAGATACGCATCTGCCTCTCCGTTTTCTGCACTCTCACCGCTCTTGCAGCCTGGCCCCTTGTTATCTTCAGATATCAACCATACCACTTTCAAGGTCAAAAAATTCTTATGAAGCGCCGTAAGCTTGAGTTTCAAGGGCACGCCCCGTGTTCATTTGATGTCAGATGCCTTCTCTAGAAATGCTAGACCTGCCCGCAAGCATGGAGGATGTACTGCTCTCGCAGCTTACAAATGCGTGAGGAAGGCACGACACACTCGCGACGAGGCCATTACCCCGCCCACTCGCCATGGCGACGCCCAACTTCCATTTCCTAAGGCTCCCTGTGGTCAGTGTCCCGCTACTAGATCTCTTTTCCCCAATGGTGAGAGTGTGTGGTCATAAGGAGAAAGAGGTTGGCCATCAAGTGGGAACTCGTCCGACTACGCCCTTTCTTCGCCTTATGCACGCACAAGTGCGGTTCAACAATGTGGTTCAACATGCGGTGCTATATGGGGTATTTCGGGCGGGTTTTACTGTTTTGCTCTTCACTTTGTGTTATGTACCCATTTTGTAATGAACATTTGAGCCACGCAACTCTGCACTTGTAGACCCGCGCGTGCCTTTAAGTCCATGAGCTCCCAATAGGCCCACCACCTTGCTTGTGTCCTCGTGATGGTCTCGTTGTTGTGCTCTATCGTCCGTTGTTTTCTGGTCTCTAGGTTGTACTTTTCAGTGCGGCGTATCGCGTCTCGTGATACAGTCCTTCAGGGAAGAACACAGCCGCACTTGCGGGACAGTTCTCCATCTTCTGCACCTCAGACCCAGTATCGTTTCATAGCAGCAATAGGAACGCTCGAATAACGTTCGTTGTGTATTTCAACGTTCACTAGGAACTCGCATTGCATATCTGCTGTAGAGCCTTCTGAACGAGCTGAGGAGGTTTTCGAGTGAGGGAGGGGGGGGGGGCGAACGCATAATCACGCTCAGTATGAATTTCTATTTCCGTATAGGTACCTGGAATAAGTGATAAATTATATCAAATTGCCATCAACTTGCAGAACATATTGCAGAAGTGAACCTAACCACATGACACAGATAACCACCGTTGCGCTGCGGTACCCCATTCGGTACAGCTTAAAGGCAGTTGGCACGATAAATCCCTGGAACGAGTAGGTAATACGCCTAGCAAGAACATTCCGCTCCCCTGATCAGGCGCTGCGTAGCGCCTTTTTCAATAAGGTACCCTTATAAGGCCCTATCAAGCTACAACATACCGACCCGAACGCCCACCGCGCCCGCCCGCCCACAAATGGACGACCGTACCTGATGCTCGTATTGCTTCATTTGCGAAGTAAAATATGAAGCGAAGGGATTGATATGAAGCGGCCGCGGTGCTGCATGGATATATGAGTACATACGTGCAGCATTATGTATCTCGTAGCGGTTATTGGCAAAACGGCAAACTCGTCCGAAATCGCTTTCTGAGTTGTGTAGAACGAAGGCTCTTCTCCAAAGGCTTTTGACTGTTTCACTCCGTTTTTCCACCACTTTCCCACTGCATAGCCCGCGTTTTACCAAACACCCAGTTATGCCTTCAAAGCTCGGAACTCGTTAGGTGTAGATGTGCCCACCCCCCCCCCTGGAAGAACTTTCCTTAATTTGTTCAGAGAAGAGTGTAGCAGGTATGAAGAATGGATTCGTAGTCATCAACCGATGGCATGTCAGATGGTGTCATCCGGTCACTTCAACCTACCATCGTTCCCTGAGTTAGCCTGAAGAAGGAGGAGCGTCAGGAATACCTCTAGAACGAAGTCTGCGGTCACCTGATGGATAAAAACCTCTCCGCAAACACGTTGAACAGGAAAACAACCGCACAAAGGGTACAACCTCGCCGCTAGACATGTCCGGTATGACCTGGCGTGCATGTTACTCAAAAGACAGTGGACACAATGGCAAGGGGCGGAGGCTGCAAACGTCATTGGTGGAAACGCGGATTGGGATGCGGCCGTACGCCCTCACACAATGACACCTCCACCAATGACATTGGCAGCAACTGCCCGCCCCGCCATGCCTGCCATTGTGCCCGCTGCCTTTAGCTAAGAAAAGCCATGAAATTAAGGAATATCTCCGAATTTTAAGCCATACCTTAGTTTAACGGCGAGTGATTCAATGAGTTCATCTCTAGCCTTCTTGCTTACGTCCCTCTTGGAATCGACAAGATTTACATATTGCTCAGAGGTGTCGTCCCCTGAATACCGCGAATTTCGAAATCTTGTGCGCATTATCATAGCGAATTGCCGGCGCAGTTCGGCGACGGGGAGGCATTTTGCGTCTCAGGGCACTTGTCAACCGAGAAGCCTCTCCTCTCTTTCCTTTTTTCTTCCTCCCTCCTTCTTTTCCTTCCTTCCTTCTCTGATCCCTCCTCCTTTACCTTCAACTACTGGACTGGTAGATGCCTCGTGAAAATAACCCTGGACCCTCGCAGCGAGAGCACGTCTGGTTGACAACAGCCCCGTAACCGGCATTTTGTACTTTCATTGCTTCCCTAGTTCCGGTTTACAAGTCTCACTCTGGTGAAACCTGTGAACTCTTGTGAAGCTGGAGCAAGGCTGTCAAGCCATCATGGTAAAACCTGTCAACTCGAGAAGAGGCTGTCTAGATGGGTCGACATGTCGATGGGAAGCAGCAAAAGTGCAAAATGCCCCCTCCCTCCCCCCGTCGACGAACTGCGCCCAAATTATTCACCATTGGCTTCTCTTTGTTTTCCTTTTTTGCAATTTCACATGAGGTCCCATGCATACAGCACACCACATCTTCCCTCTGGATGTTCTGAAAATTGAAGGAATTGAAGGATTCACTGAGGCAAAGGTACATAGGGGGGAAAAGAACACATGCTTTGCTGGATGAATGGCCTTACATCCGAGTCACGGCTAGCCGGGAGACGGGCAAGAGAATCGTAATTTGCCGCTCCGCCGCGCGCGGCGTTTTCTTAACTCATGTTAGCTTGTCGATTGGAGCACCAGCTTTATGTAGACTCAGTTATCGTGGTTATCTTCATTCTTGATGACTTATTTTAGACACCAGTCGGATCGCCGGCTGACGCCGAGCTCTCCTCCTTCTTTTAGCTCGGCTTCGCCGAGCTGGCCTGGCTTCGCCAGGCGCGTTCCATAATGGAAACGGAACTTTTTCAATAGTGGGCTGCTCATACGGCGCTGTAGTGATCGAATCGTTGCAGATAGAGGAAGGCTTGGGATCGTGCACTACTTAGCACACGCTTCTATTTGCAGCAGGGGCAGGGGTGTGGTCCGCGCCATTACGCCCATACAAAACATAAATCTGTAGATATAGACACAATGTGTAGTAGGTCAATACAGCGCAGTATGAATCGCTCAGTAAAAAGCAGATTTCCATTCCCTGCACCGAAATGCCTACCGATGAACGTTTCCCTTTTCACTTAGCTTGCAATCCGCTGAACTATAACTATTTGTAGGTACTATGAGCCCTTGTTATTCGATCTAATCAGCAATTGGAAGTTCAAAAGTAAAAAGTGCTATTGAACGCATGAAGTGCCACATTATTCATGTTTTTCGGTTCTCCTCGAATTTTTCCTGAGTTTCCTGTTTCAGGCGAACTACATACCCCCCCCCCCCCCGCTCGTCGACTTCGACATTCGACATTAGTGGGATGAGTTCATTTTCTAGGGCTATCAGAGAAGTGATGGCTAAAGGAAAAGTTTGCACACGGGGCCTCCAATACTTGGCAGTATAGCGATAAGATGTAATGACAACTGCCCCTTATCTTTCTTATCAATTGATAAGATTGCCTGTCACTCGTTAACAATGTCCCTATCACTACTACTCTATAATATGGTAGTGTAAAGGCTCCAGCACTTTGACTGAACAACAATGGCAACGTTCCTTATCAGCCCCTATCAGCTGTTATCACGTCCTGTCACCTGCCGTCCCCACCCTACATCATTTTCTGAAATCAACTCCTAGCTGATGCTGTGTCCTGCGTTATGAGTGTGGGGACCTTACCGTTCTAACTCCCCTCATCGGATCTTATCAGCTGATATCATTCCCTGTCACCCATCAATAATGTTCCTGTATCACACCCTATACCATACCTTGGAACCAACGTCCCACTGTTGCTGTGTCCCGCACTATGGACCCGATGGCTCTCCCCTTCAGACGTCTCTTATCGGATCTTATCAGCTGATATCACTCCCTGTCACCCATCAATAATGTTCCTGTCCCACACCTTATACCATACCTTGGAACCAACGTCCCATTGTTGCTGTGTCCTGCACTATGGACCCGATGGCCCTCCCATTCTGACGCCTCTTATCGGATCTTATCAGCTGATATCACTCCCTGTCACCCACCAATAATGTTCCCGTCACAGCCTCTATATCATTGCCCGGAATCAACTTCCTACAGCTACTGGGACGGGCGCTATGAATTTCGTGACACACAGACACACACACACACACACACAGACACACTTAGCGGATTATATATAGTAGGATATGGTGGTAGAATGGCGCAGCTGGCAACTTTCACACGACCACGCTTACGCGGTATATCATACAGTAGGTTGGACAGCATTCGAGTAGCGCTTAGTGGGCGTCCGCTTGTGTTTAACCAATGAGAGTACTCGCACGTGTAAGATTTATTACGACGTGTTCGTACTGAACCGTATAACCGACATAAATGCACTAAAAAGTAGGCTTATATACAGGCAAATGTGGGCGGTGCTCAGGTATCGTACCGATGGCGGTACTTA